TTTAAATTTAACTCAACACAAACTGGTAAGTTCATGACATGTATAATTTACTTATATGTTTTATATTGCAATTCTGTACCCTATTCCTTTGAAAATTGTTTGCAATTGCATATGATGTTGTCATGTATTATATATAGTTGTGTCATGAATTTAATAATACCTCAATGGCTTCGAAATAGACAAAGCATGAAAAAAGTCATGAATATTTAGCTTATTTACCCTTTAAACACTTGATCGTCATGCGCATACAGTGTATTGTTTGTTACCAAAACCCCCTCAAGCAGACTTCAACTTTTCTTGTCAAATTGTATATTTGCTTCATACACTGCACACGTGTGTATTTGTGGGAACACTCGTGTTTGGTGCTTGGGATAAGTTAATGGTAATTTCACTGGAGTCATCAGGGATATAGTTGTATATTCCTGAAATTACCTCTAAACGCCTAAAACAGCATTCCCTAAAATTTTAATTGTTTTCTTTCATATCGCTCACACACGCATTGCTTAAAGTCCTTAAATTTTGCTTAAAATCACATACCTAAAATTGCTTATCTCGTTATCGCCCCAGAGTAGGGCCTACTGTTGCCATTGCTTTTTAGTCCCCAATACTTCAGTGAGTCATGCTTTGGAAATGACAATAATTTTTTATTACCCAATCCTTGAGTTGTTTTGTTTTTCATTTACCCAACCTTTTACTTACTCAAAATTTAGTTTACCCAAACCTTTTCTCTTCGGTGCCACCCCCCACCATAAATAATGACCGGTCCCTAACATTAACAAACACTCAAGTGATGGCGGTGTTGAGAAATTCGGATAACAACAAAGCTCACGGTCCCGATGGAGTTACTGCGCGACTACTGACAGAAACTGTGTTCCAGATCACTCCTTCACTTCGCACACTCTTCAACAAATCATTACGCTGTAGCATTCTTCCTGATGATTGGAAATTGGCTAATGTCGTACCTGTGCATAAGCGAGGTGAGAAATCCTACGTAGAAAACTATCGACCAATATCATTGTTTTAACTTATCTCTAAAGTACTCAAACATCAATTATTCCAACAAATCAACCCTTGTCAACTTAATGAAGTATTTGGACAAATAGGGCGCAAATTGGGCAATGGTGAACAAATATAGACGTGATTTATTTAGATACGTCGAAGGCATTCGATAAAGTAAGTCATACTAATCTTCTTCATCGACTACGCGAATTTGGGTTCCGAGGAAACATCCTGAACTGGTTCTCATCGTATCTCAGTAATCGTCGTCAGCAAACAACGGTTCATGGAGTAACATTAAGACCGTTAGACGTAACATCCGGAGTGCCGCAAGTTCGATACTTGGCCTATTGTTGTTCCTATTGTACGAAAACCACCTCCCTAACACCCTGAACAATTCAACTTGGTCAATCGCACGGAAATAGTACAAAGGCGAGCAACTACGTACATTTTGGATCTTCCTTTCTTCTGCGATGTCAGTTACAACCGGAGACTTGATATGCTAAGTTATGATTCCTGTATGTTACTGGCACTAATTACTTGATATGATTTTCTTCTTCAAATACACTCATTAGATGATAGTCATCAACAACGACCTACTACCAACAATCCGGAGTAGAGAAAGAGCTACAAGATCTGCTGATCCGAACTGTTTGATGTTAATAACAAAAAAATGCAAGACTACAACATACCGGAAGTCATTCCGGACGAGATCAACCAGACTGTGGAACATTTTACCAAAAGACTTGACAGATAAAACCACTACATGTAGCGGATTTAAAAGCGGACTTCTCAAACACTATAAATCTGCCTTACAAAATGTTTACAACGCAAAGGATCCTCGAACTTGGAAATCTATATGTTTGTCTTGTAATACGTCTCGTAACCTGTCTTGTCCCATATCGTGCTGTTGTTAGTTTTTTGGGGAAGAAGCAGAATTCTCTGTGAGCTGTGTTTAAAACCAGCTTGAATATTTAAAAAACGATTAAAATATAAATGTTCTGCATGGTATGAATTTAGTGAGCTTGAATATACAGAAATTTGTGTATAAGGAGAAATTGGTGAGGTGTTCTGCTTTTAACCCCGGATATTTTAAAGTTTGTTTGTCTTGGGTCGCTGTATTTGGCGAAAGCTGTAGCGTATATCCAGCCTTGTCAATGTACGTTTCGTTAGTCCAGTCAATCTGTGACCAGAGGTCAAAGAAATTGCAATAGAATTTTTTTCACTGGTAAAATGTGAGGGAAGGTGTCCTTATTAACATACTAAAAATCCAAAAAAGTCCCTTCGGTGGAACATGGTGAAAATTGAGTTTTTCTTACTTCTACCTATAGAAAACATAGATATCTCATATACACTAGATAGCGCATCCCACCCTGTAGGCAGGCGAAAATTGAAGCCTGATCGCAGTCGCAGTTTACGTGCGGCGGCCATATTGGTCGTTCCCACGGAGCGTAATAATTTGTATATTTTGTATTGCGGAAATGAACAAAGTTGACAATAAATCCTCTTTTATGCAGTCAATTTTGGTTTTTCAAGTGTGCAACTTGTTGTAAATGATGCCAGATCGTTGGAGCTTCATATTGTGAATAACGGGTAGGCAGAATTTAATTTTTTTTTTCGAAAATATCAATATTTGTCGACCCGTATGAAGGGCGCCCATAGGACAAACCTTATGGACAAACCATCATTGTTGATGTATATATAAATATAGTTCCACCAATTCCAAATAAAACATTTTGAGCCATCGCCATTGCTTCATGGCAAAATTGTGAATGTATTTGCATATTCTTTTGTAAAAGACAGCGACACTGAAAAACATATTTTAGTCGCAGTTTATCAATGGCAAAAATAGACTTTAATTATAAAATCTTAAATAGTCAATATATAAAACATTGATACCAAAAATAGTTCTTACTCCTTACTATTTGTATATTTATTACATACATACAACATATATATTATTTTATAGTTCCATGGAATCATATCAAGATTAAAATGTGTTAGAAGCTAGAGAAGAATAATTGCAACTTAGTATATTCGCAGGCAATATAACATAATTGATATTGCTTTATGTAAATGTAGTTGATAATCAAACTTTCTAAAACCTTCAATTGTATGAATGCTTCAAACTATCTTTAACTGATATTTGATGTTAAGAAATATTTCTTTCTGTTGAGTCCTAGACCTTTTGTTTTTAATTCAAGCAATCAAACTGCTAAATTACTGTAATTATTAACAGCATAGGTCATTGATAATCAGCTGAATTTTAGAACTGCTTTGGGAAACCCTATTTTGTAATGAGACACATTACTTCTTGCATTATTGTATATTGTATATTGTAGGGTCAATGGGATAAACTGCTTGATGCACAGTAGATTTTATAATCTTAAATATAGTAGCACTCACTATTGTATAAATAATTCTATTGTTATAATAAAGTATTACTTTTGAATTTGTGTATAACTGATAGTGTTTTCTAATTCTTTGACTCATCAGATGCACAATAATTAAACTTTTCTAAAAAAATAAAATAAATTTGCCAGTACTCTCAGGAATTGAAAACATGATAAACTCTCAATTTTTGCCTTTTGAGTTTAGTGGTTACTGTAAATATCATTAAAAAATGTCCAATTTTAAAAAAAATTTGGAGACCTGAAGAAGTTTTGGTGCCAATTGAAATTAAAAATTTGAATTAAACTCAGAAAATTTCATAGCAATGGGTAAAGTCATTCCTGATGCAAAAAGTATAAGAAGTAATAGTGAAGGGTCAAGTGACAGAATCAAAAATCAAAAGAAAACTTCCCAGGACATTTCATCAGTAAGCAATTTATTTTTAGTTTTTTACAGTATACTATTATTTTGCTTGAAATTAGACTTGCATTAACATGATAAACATCCCTAAGGATGAAGTACTATGAAAACAGTTGATACAAAATGTTCATCAAGAAAAGTGGTCACCCAAAAAGCAGATGTTTATATGTTCTCACCACTTTTGTTCTGGTTGCATTGTCCATACTGTTCTGTTCTCAGAAAGCAGACACTTATATGCTCTGACCACTTCTGTTCTGGCTTCATTGTTCATTGTCCATATGTTCTGGCTTCATTGTCCATATACAATCTTTTAACTGAGCTAGATCACCATATTTTTTACTCACCAGTTGGTGAAAATCATGTAATATTTCAGTTGACCAAGAGCATCATCAAGAGTTACTGTGAGGTTAAATTTTACCATCTTGCAAAAAAGACCACTGAGAATTCATCTGGACAAAAAATTAGAAAGAAATTAAATAAACTTGTACCTTTTAAGCACCAGTGTGAGTGATTACACAGAATGTATCAGAGAAAGCTAAATATTACTAAAATTAACTATGAAACTGCCTCAAACATAATTTTACTAAAGATTTATAGTGAAAACTGCCCAAGCTGAAAGTGCAAACTCTGTCTCAAACGTTTCACTAAAGATTTAGAGTGAAAACTACCCAAGCTGAAAGTGCAGACTCAGACTGTCTCAAACATTT